AAGTCTAGTGTTTTGTCAGGGCTTGCCAAGGGCAGCTCGCATGCTTCACTACACGACAGATGAAGCAGCAAGGGCGGTTTGTCAGGGTCGGGTCAGACGTTCGCTGAGGTGGCCGTTGGCGCTTGACGGAGCAAACGTTCCGACGGTGCCAGTGTCCTTTCAGCTGTTTCCGCACGAGTTTTCTGTGGCGTGGAGTGCTTCTGGAGATCGGCAACATAACTGACGGATGACGTGGACGTAAGGAAAGCCATGACACATGCGCCCACAACGAGCCTTCGAGAATCTCAACCCCAGCCACGAAACGCCGCAGGTTCTACACCTGCCTTGCGATAATTTACTAGAGCGTTTCGATGTCATTGGCACAACTTCGAGCCGCAGCTCTGCCGAAGCGTGGTGCGACATTGGGTGATTCTGGGGAGGAATGACCCCATTTATACTACGAGCTGCCTGATGGGCCAGTGTGGGGACTTTCAGTTCGAGCTGATTCAGATTGTGCCCAAATGGAATCCTGACGTGGTGGTTCCAGACTGGTTAGAGAAATCTCAGATGATCGCCAAGAAATTTCGGTCCAAGTCAGCATCAACCCATCCTCGACCCCAGTGTGAAATTACGGGGAACTTTTTTCTTACGTCTATTTTCACACATCCTGGGGCAAATTTCGGCGCGGTTCAGGGGTTTCAGGGTGTGGAATATTCGCGGGACAGGTGTATTCGATGGTTTGAGTTTCATTGACCCCTTCCTTCCCCCGCCCTACTACACACGATGCCCGTTTGACTAACCCAAGGTTGCCTTGCTAAGAGGGCTCTTAGCTTTCGTCAATTCGCACTTAGCGAAAAGGGCTTTTAAAAGATTTTGTAACTCGCTGTTGACCGTTTGACATGGGTCTCTTATGTCAAACTTCGGTTTTTGTGGTTCGTATTGCTCGAGGTGCTTATAAATGGGGTGCAACTTCCTGGTACCCTAATACACGGGTGCAGAGTTTCCATAGCGGACAGAGCAAATTCGCGTGCAGGGGTTGGGCATCTTGTGTACCCCCTTTCCTCACACTGTTGAAAGTTCGGCCAACTCAATCGCCGCGGGCTGTTCGACACATTCCAGAATGCTGCTCGATGGAGGTGTGAGACGTTCAATCCTCATTGCTTGTAACGGAAGTTACTACTGTATCGTCCTGGTTGATAGTAGCAAAACCATTACTGTGCTGAATTACATGAAGAACTCACACCAACACTGTCAGACAACCCTCCCACCACAAAAAGCACCACGGTTGAACCGTGCCAGGCTTGCATGTTAGTAGACAGCGCGGCCCCATACTTGGAAGAGAGCAGTCGTGAAAACAAGGTAAAGATCATCTTAAGCAAGTCGGGAGCAGTATCATGCGGGGCTCCAGGCTCGCCGCCCGCACCTGGGCTCCCGCGTCGGCAAATCATTGGCGCCTCCAGGGGATGCAGCGGCCGCGTGAGCGGCACGCGCAGTGCGCCGCGCTGGCACTCGCGTGGTGGCTCGCCGCTCTCGCCACGCCCGCCGTGGTCCACGCCCAAGTGATGGCTGCCTCGCAAGGTCAGCGGCTCAGTTTGCAGCCATGATGCTGCTGGTCACCAGCAGTAGAATCTTTGTATTGAGAACGTAGCTACTCCAAGCCTAGCTTCGAAGTACCCATTTCCAAAACGCACACACAAACGATGTAACACTTCGCTACCCACTGAGTCAAAACGAGGGTTGTATTTGAGGCGCAGCGGATGCTCTCATACCCTTACGTGTAAGCCCCACAGGCGTTACAAACGACCACCAAAGGACCCCCCCTCCATCGAAATTCCCCCCCTCTCATTTCCCACCGCCTCCTCTCCCCCCCCTCCCCCCTCCTCCCCCTTCCCTCCGTCGACTGGCAGTTACATTCCTGCGAGATTGCCAGGCCGCATGGGGTCAGGTGTTGGCTGGGTGGACTTCGTTCAATGGCAGACCTATTACCTGCCAGGCTGCTACAGGCATCGACTGCGATACGAGCGGGATGATCAACCAGATGTGAGCTGCGACCTGCAGCATTCATGACGACTAGTGCCACCTTTACAAGTGCCCAGCCACTCTTTCAAGCCCTGTTGGCTCATGGAAACAATGTGACGCCATGTTTTGGGTGCAATTTATTGCAGAAAAATTCAAGGTGGCATCAGAGGAGGGCGCCTTCCGAGCTCCATCTCCAACCTCCGCGAACTCACTGTCCTGTACGTCGGGGGCCCTCCGCAGCCCTCTTGCAACGGCGATAGCTATCCTTTCCTAGTCATTCTTTACACCAGTGGCTCGTTGACACAAATAATTGATCTTCTTCCGGCGTCTCTCTTCACATCTCCTCTTTTCTCCTCACCCAACAATCCTCAACCTTTATTTCCCCTCTTTGTCTCGGCTCTTTCGCCCCGCCCCTTGCCCATTAACTTAAAACTCTCTGCCGTATCATCTGGCATTCTTGCATGTTATTCATCATATCAGATACCTTCGTTACAGTAGGCTCACTGGCTCAGTTCCTTCCGAAGTTTATGGACTCACAAAATTGAGGATCATGTAAGGCTCCAAGTTTCCTCTCTGCTTTTATGGTTTCCCCTCGTGCTAGTCTTATCCATACCATCCACTTCCCCTCCCATTTGTGTACTCTCGTCTCCGTTGGGAATAAAGGAGTGCTATCTGTCAGATTAGGTTGCAAGCAAGGAGTTGGGTAACTCCCCTGGCGTGCTTAGTAACCATGGGAAAAGTGCTATCTGATTGTGGACGTAGCACAGGGTCGCACAAGTGCCGTGTAGTAGGGCAGGTTCCACCATTGCCAGCAGATGTGTGAAACTGAGCAAGCATAGTATTTGAATACGATTCACATTAGACTTGTGCTACGGGTACTTCTCATCAAGCAGACTACCGCCCGTCCCGAGAATGAAGGAATTTGACTGTCAAATGCTGTCGTCGCCAAATGCCTGGGAGCGTACTACTCTTCAATGAGTAAGCGACTCAAAAGGAAGTACCATAGAAGGGTCACGGGTGTAGTATGCACTAAGAAAAGGCTATGAAAGCATTCAGTGGAACCATTCTGCTGAGTTGCGATGCTGACATGGTTCAACCTGTTGTCACAAGTTGTGGTTCGCATGCACATACGTATACCACTCGTTTCTCATGCAACCTTTGATCTCCCTCTGTCTGCTCGTTTCTGTGGGTGTTGTTGCAGAGATCTTTCAGTGAATTATTTTAGTGGATCAATCTCCACGGCGGTCAGCAATCTTAGAAACCTGGTTACCTTGTAAGGCTTCCTGTAAGGCCGCTTCTTGGTTGATTGTGCTTGTGCGTCTCTCCTCTGCACCTAATCCCCTCCCCCTGATGCGAGCCAGTCCACACACATGCTCTCCATAGACCCTTCATCTGTTTCATCCTCTTGCATCAGGTTCACTTTCCACCACCCTATCCTTTGCTGTTTTTTTAGTACTTGATACGGATGGCGCATTTGTAGCACGGATTGCCTGTAAGAGACTACAAGCACTACGAGCAAAGTGGCAAAAGAGTAAACTTCGCTGCGATCCTGGTGACCTAAGAAAGATCGCCCTGTGACAAGATGACGACAACAAGACCCCACGTTGCCACGAGCCAGCCCCTATTTACGGGTGGGCTGGTTACTATGCAGGCTTCAGTTGAAATTCCTTTATCTCTCGCATGCCCCTTTGTGTTTGCCATTGCAGAAATCTCCTGCAGAATCGTCTGTATGGCTCCATCCCAATTGGCATCAGCAGAATTTCCAACCTGCAATACCTGTACAGCATCCTGCAAGCCCGTTGTTTTGTTCTGCCCTATCTTGAGCGCCTCTCGTTGATGCTAGTCCACACCCATGGCCTCCGTTAATCTCTCTTCCATTCCATTCTCTTGAATATATGGTCCATGTACCACCGCCACATGCTTATCTGTGTTCATTGTTGCAGGGATCTCACCAAAAATAATTTCCGCTTCTCGATCCCAGATGTATTGAGCAATCTTCAAGCACTCACATCCTTGTAAGACCTTCTGCAACATTGTTTTTTGGCTGCGCTCTGATCCACCTTCTGCACCCCTCCACTCTTCCACCACTTCTCCTACCCTCGAGGCTAGTCCGCAACAAGGCCTCCCACAATGTCAGTATATAAACACGTTTACACACTCAATGGCTACATATGCAGCATGCACAATCTCATATGCTGCTATGCTAGCCACTTCCATGGAATAACTGGCTTCCAATATCTACCTACCATGTGGCCGTTTGTCCATCGTTGCAGATCTCTCGCAGACAATAAGCTGTTTGGCTCCATTCCCGATGGAATCAGTAATTTTTCAAGACTGCGAAGCCTGTACGGTCTCCTGCAACGCAATTGCTTTATTCCCACCAGTTCTGCTCCTCTTGATGCCAGTCCTCACGCATGTTCTCTCTGTTGCTTCTTCTTCCATTGCATCCTCTCCTATTAAGTCCACTTATCACCACTACACATGCATGCACATATGTGTTCATTTTTGCAGATCCCTTTATAACAGTCAACTCAATGGCTCAATTCCTGCTGCAATCAGTGAACTTAGAACTCTCACAATGCTGTAAGGCGTCCTGCAAAGCTGTTGCTTGCCTGTCCTTTCTAACTTGTGCGCCCCCTCCTCTCCACCGCTTCTCCTCTCCACCGCTTCTCGCCGTCTTGACACTTGTCCACACTGATGCTTTCCTTTCCATCCGTTCAATGGTCTCGTAGCAGCTCCACTTACCACCACCAGCACCAACAGTGCGCTTAAAGATGTTTCATCTGCTCTGATTATGTATGGTAACACACAAGGATTTTGGGGATGTTAAATCAGCTCAACGCATTGTGCCTTGTTTACTTAGACGCAAACTGCTTTGTCACGAAATGAAACGGAATTTGTTTGAAGCTCGAGTTCAGCTCAGACCGGATCGCATGAATATGCTGCTGTCTACACAGAATACGCTCCCTGTATCACATGCTCATTTGCGTTTATTGCTGCAGATTCCTCTCGGGCAATCAGCTGACGGGCTCAATCCCGGACGAACTCTACGAGCTTACGAACCTGCAAAGGCTGTAAAGCTTCCTGCAAAGCTCTCTTCCGTGCTCTCCCTCCCTTGTGCACGTATCCTCTCCGCTTCGTCTCCTCTCAATGCCAGCCCGCACCGATGTTCTCCATTGTCGGGTCCATTTAACTACCCGACCAGCACTCAGTCTAGTTAAATTGTGAGCTGGAGCTGGTTCTGCCCGAACCCATCCGGGACGGTTTGACTAGACCTGCCAATTCGGCCAAGTTTGACCCGAACCGGCTCAAGCTCGAATCTTCCTTGTGCCTACGCTGTGCTTCAGTGCTCTCCTGTTATTGTTGGCATACCAATCTGGTTGGCCCCTCTCTGCTTTTCTGTCTTTTCATTTCTTCCGTGCGAGCTTGAACCCTTCCTTTTTATGTACTGCATACGCGTTTCTTGTATATGTATCATTACAGGTATCTCAATGAGAATAAGCTCAATGGCACAGTTTCGCCTGCAATCGGCAATCTTGTGAATCTAGTGGCGCTGTAAGTCCCTTCTGGTTTGTTTCTGCCTTTTGTATTTCCCCTCGCCTCCACTCTTTAGCATTCCGATCATCTCCACTCCATCCCATCCATGCCCCTTCCTATGTTATGATCTTCTCTCCATCGAGGTAGTATGTGTGCGCCATGTGCAGTGAGTTATTAAGTATTAGGTTGGCAGACTCAAAGGATCAGGTATGGCGGGTTTGACCCCCGAGAGGAAATGTTTGGGGCGTTCTTGTGTGGTTCAACTTGCTGTTTACGGACTCTGGTCATTCATTCCTTTTGTGCACATTAAGCAATGAAGCAGGTTGCAACATGGGTATGCTTTCAGAGAGTTTGGATGTGGCTTTCAGCCATCGCTTTTAGCGCAGGGTCGCATGAGTCCCAAGTACCAACGCAGACCTCCACAGCTGCTCACAGCAGAGGAGTAAAAACGAGAAGCACCTTAGATCAAATTTACGTTGTCTGCAAGGAGACTGCCTCCCTCTTTTATTAACCTCATCTCTTCTGGAGATCGTCTGAAGCTTCTAGTGACTTCCTGGCCTTGTGCACATGTTCACACGTGGGTTAATTTTTTGTGTTTTTTTTGTGGCACTGCATGGCAGCTTCTTGCAGCAAAACGAGCTAGAAGGCAGCCTGCCAGAAACAATGTCTGCACTTGTGTCTCTCGCTAATCTGTGAGCCGCGTGAACCCCAGGCCTCTGATGCGTTAGCACTCCACATCGCACAGCGCACAATCGCTCCCGCGGTTTGGATCGCATCGAAGAGATTTGATGGTTGAAATTTTTGTTGCCCACCTGGTTGAACCAATTGGCGAGCCACATCAGATTGAGCCGGTTGAATGCGGTTTTTGGTTTTCTTCAAATCGGCCAGGTTCGACTTAGCAACTTGTGCGAGCTATTATCAAGAAAAAAAAAAAATAGTATTGAAACTTGTTTTGAGATCTCAAATTTCTTCTTGACTCATAATATGTGTTTTTCAGCACTGCATTCTACCTCACAGCTTGTATGAAATAACTGTCTTATTGCATGTACAGACAGCTGGCGAAAAATCGTCTTAGCGGAACGATTCCTTCTAAAATTGGCAAGCTGGCTGCATTGAGTTATCTGTAAGTTGACACGCCATCCCATCCCACTGAAATAAAACCACTCGCAAGGAGACTGCAAGAAACGTGTCTAGCCTACTGAAGGATAGAAAAAAGTTGGGAACTTTTTTTAGCTTGATCGGGCCCCGTTCAACCCTTAGGGTCACCGTCCATGGAGACAAGCAGTGCTGCGGCTTGTGGACCCACATATAGTAATCCCAGATGGATCAGCCCTCCTGCGTGGTGCAGTTGTGCATGGCAAGGCACCGCTAGCGATTCTAGTCCATCTTGCTGCAAGTCGAGTCGAAAGCAAAATCTTGTTGCTCAGGTTGTTGCAAATGCGAGTCAAGAGGCGGCTCAGGCTCTTTCTCAGGCCTGCCATCCATCCCTTTCGACAATTGTCCGCCTTCACGCCCATCAGGTCACTTGCCTACAACCAGATCATTGGAAGCTTACCTGCCAGCCTCAGCAAACTGACAGACATGCAGACCCTGTACGATGCCAGCAAAAAAATCCACATGCGCCCTTCCACTCTTGCTCCTACTTATACGATTCTCATACATTTCTATACTCTTCCACACGCTTGTTCACCCCATCTTGTGCACTCTCATTTACACTCCTGCATCTGAAGCAGAGTATTTGTGCTGGTTGTGTCCACCATTTCACATGCTTTGCTCCTATTGTTGTGCTGTCGAGAGGTGCTTCTAACTGAAGCCAGTCCAATGCAACAATTGACTCCCACTGCTTCCTCCTCCCCCCTCCTCTACTTCCCACAGTCTCTCCCTCGTTGCTCCTGCACCTCTTCTCTTCATCCTCGTCCCTTACCCCTCCCCCCTGCATTCCTGTTCTTCTCAAACCCAACTTCCACCCACCCATCACCTCATGTAACACTATTATTCTCATTTATTCTGATTTTACTTACACTTCTGTGTGATTAACACCTGCCTACAATGTAAACCTCCCGTTCCTTTTTTCCCGTTCCCCTGCAGCGATCTCTCTCACAACTACCTCACAGGCCCCCTGGTGAAACTCCCGCCACTCCTTCCAGCGGACCTGTCCGACAACTACCTGTCGGGTGTTGTGTCCGCACCAAACTGCCAGCGACACATCATCGCTGCCAACTGCTTTGCACCAAGCAAAGCCTGCAGTCCTGAGTTGCAGCGACCCGCAGCACAGTGCATGGCATTCTGTGGCATCTCTCCAACCACTGCTGCCTGTGGTGGTCGTGGCGTGTGCTACCCAGACGGGCCCAGCTTGGTGCCAACGTGCTCGTGTGGTGCAGGATCAGTGCGGTACGGACGAGGCGACTGTGTTCTGCCACCAGGTAAGGAATACCTGTAGTACCTTCTTGCGATTTACTTGAGACTATTAAAAACTTATTTCCTTTTTACTAGAGCTGGCTCTGGTGCATTGGTTCGAATTTTCCTCAACACTTGGTTGAAAGCTAGCAACAAAAACAGAGTGGAAAACCTCAGCAAAAACGTGAAAATACATGACTATAGTGAATGTACCGCCAAACCGAACCAAAACAGGTGGGGCCGAGTTGAGCTTCAAAGACTTTGACTCCAAGCGGTAGCAGTTTGACCACATATAGCAAACCTCAAACTCCTGGTTCCACATGTTCGGTTCGGTTCGGGTAACTGCCCAGTCGTTACTCGGTTCGAGTTCAATTGCTTCTGAGGTCAGACTTGCAATATAGTCACTGGTTGAACGGACGAAACACTTTTGTGCACCATTCCTTGCCCTTCATAACCCTTTCCTCTCCTTATCGTCTTTGCTGCAATCTTTCCGACATTAACTTCAGTAGGTAAGCTTCATCTATTACAAGTGCAACATACACAGAGAGCAGCATATGCTCCTGATTGGCTTAGCAACCACCACCAAAGATTCGTCACTACCTCCTTTGCCCGCTTAACACTGACCACATGATATGTCCTGCTGCACCTCCCTTGCAACTCTGCAGGGCCCACGGTGAACATCCTCCCGCCATTCGCGTTTCTCACCAAGGGCACGAAGAAGGAGACAATGGGGAAGTTCATGGCGAAGCCAATGACCCTGTTTCATTACCAGCGTGGTGTTACCTCGGGATGTGGCTTGGGGTTGGCGTTCAGAGTCAACTTCACCTTCTCTCTCATGCCCCAGTTTGGTACTGCTGGGTCCAATGGCTTTGCACTTGTCATAGCAGCAAAGCCCAAGGTGGGGAAGCCTGCTGGTGTGGGGTACAGTGGATTGGGACTTCGGAGCATAGCCGTTGTCTTTGACACGCTTCCGAATGATGTGGGCGAGCAGCACGTGGGGCTGTGCATCAACGGCACAGAGGAGTGTTTGGTCAAGGAGGTGTCTCCATTCACACTGACCGATGGCGACTCATACAAGGTGTGGGTGGACTATGAGCCTGGGGATCCCGGCACCATTCAAGTGTTCCTGGCCAGTTCGAATACAAAGCCAGACGAGCCACTGCTGCTGGGGAGGGTGTCGCTGTGTGCGGTCCTGCAGCCGGGAGTGAAGCAGCCGGCATTCTCGTTTGGGTTCGTTGCGTCCACCACTGTGAATCCCTTCCAGCGGCTAGGCATTCTCTCCTCCACCGTGCAAACAGGCAAGCATATGTTTCAGGGGTGATGCATGGGAATCATGGCCACGACTAATTGAGTGAGAAAAGCGTGAAGAAAAGGTGGTGGGGGTGGTAGCTCTGGTGTTCTGCCATTGATTTTGAGTTGAACATTACAGGATAGGGCAACCACATTGGCGTTGTCAGTGTGTCATGATAGACTGGGATGTTGTGCATTGTAGATAATGACTGGCAGTGGCTAATGAGAATGATCCTGCCATTGCTACCTCTTTATGAGGTGCTCTTTGTGTGATTAACGAGTCAACCACCACCTGATGGCTGCTCTTATGACTGCTGAATCTCCCTGCAGGCATTCCTAAGGTCAAGGCCGTCCTGTTCAAAGATCAAGGTGAGCTCCCTGCCACGTGGCAGCTACAGGAGGTGCACCTCGCTTCCGTTGTCTGACATCGATAAGTTTTTAGTTATCTAGTCTGGCAATGCCATCCTGGTCCGATGCTAGAGGCAGCAAGAAACAAGCACAACCACCACCGCATGATCTAACTAGCTATTACTGTGGGTCACTAGGGGAGACCGACGGAGGCTGTGAAAAGTAGTAGAGGGTGCTTGATGGTAGAACGTTGCTCGATGCCGGTGTCCCAGGTGCAGGGGTCATCCAGTCTCTCAAATTGATTCGTGGCTCAGCCAGTACTGTGGCATCACCAATCCAGAGATGCGACATGCGTGTTCCCAACTACTCTTCACCCATATTCCCTTTTTTTCTAACATATTTCGCCCCTCACAGCCCTTGGCCTCTCGCTATCGGAGGACACATTTGCACCGTCTCGAGGCAGCCCCTTTTCGCGCTACGTGAGTTCGGATTTCGAGCTCTCGGCCACCAAGAAGGACGCGTGGAGGCTTCGTGACTTCCACACGTGGGACTCTGTGGATTTCCTTGGCTGGCCTGTCAAGAACCAGCGAGACTGCAGTAAGTGGGAAGAGGATCGTGGGTTTCCAGTTCAGATTCTTGCACGAATTTTCTGTTCCGCTGCACTTCCGACGTTTTGCCGACTAGTTTTGGCGGCAAGCTGTACATGATAGGCTGGCATGCGATGTGCAACTGATAGAAATGAAAAACTGTAGGAACAGACCGATGTGAACATGGTATGTGCCATCAGAGACTTCTCCACACTCCTTGCATGGCTCACCTTGCTTCACCTTCGCCTTCCTCTCAGATGCGTGCTGGGCATATGCGGTGGTGGCGAGTGTGGAGGCGGCATACGGCATTGCAAAGCAGCAGAGCGCCCCTCAACTGTCAGTGGAGGCGCTCTTCGCCCTCATGGGGCTCTCCGACTCCGACAAGTGCTCCGCTGGCGGCTCCCCCACGCAGGCCCTTGAGAAGCTTGTGGCTCTCGATGCCTCCAGTGGGCTCACAGGGGACAGTGACCCGGTAGGGCAAACAGAATTAGCCGTGAGATATAGGCATGAAGCTGTACTCGCGCCAGTAATCGCGTTGGCGATATGAGAGCCGTTTGCTATTCATGACTCAACACTGTTTGCTTTTCGTAGGTTATTCTAGCTTGTAACAGAAGTGTCTTTTTCAGGAAACGAGGCCATTTTTCCCAGAGTAACCAAACTTCTAGTGTGTTTCAAACTTTATGACAGCGATTTGTTGGAGACATGTTGGGTTTTCTTTATTCTGTCCCCTTTATTCATTCACACTCCATAACTCTCTCTCTTCTCCTCCCTCCCACCCTCTACTACCCCATTCCCAATGCAAATCTCCTGGCCCATCCCAGGCAACAACGTACCCGGTGCAGTCGTTCGAGCGAGCGCGGTTCAAGGGGTATGTGGGGCTCATGATGGCAGTGCAGAACCAGCCAGTGGTGGTTCACATCCAGGCGTCTGCTGCCACGTTCGTGATGTATGATGGGGTGAGTGAACCACTTCAGCCCTCATTCAGCATACCGTCGTGCTGTCACCTTGTGAATGGCCACCCAGAATTTAATTGAAAAAACTCAGGAATATACAGAGCTAATCTCTCCTTGAACGTCCACTTTGACTCTGGCAAAAGAACTCGTGCTTTTTGCCTTTTCTGTGGTTGGTTCTACCCCATGCCACATCAGACATACAAATACCAGGATCCTGATTGCTATACAGGAAGTCTCAACCATGTTGTACTCGTTATTGGGTACTTCATTACGAGAAATGACGGCAGCCAGAACCGCATTGCTCCTCCGTTTTGGATTATTCGCAACTCGTGGGGAGAGGAGTGGGGCGACAAGGGTCACATACGCATGGACATTCAGGGAGGGGATGGCGTGTGTGGCATCAACGTGCTGCCTGGCATCTACCCCGTTGTCAAGAGTGAGGCATTTACCCGGTAGTTGTATTGATTGTGATGGATGGTGGAAATGAGAAAAACAGGAAGAAATATTAGATTGCTCGAAGAGATAGAAAGCATGTGTTTCCCTGGTTGAACCAAACATAACTGCTCCAACCTGTGAAGCGTTTTTGCAAGTTGGAGCATACACAAACCGAATTGCAACTCGGTTTTTGCTTGTGTCTACAGATAGTTTTGAACCATACTGAGCCCCTGTTTTGTGTGACTCAAACATGCTTGGATCAAACTGACGGAGAGTAATATTTGCCCAATTCCATCAACGTGTTTCAAGTGTATCTTCTCCTCTCCATCATTTCCCAGTTCCAGGGGACCCCTGTGGTCAAAGCAGCTACCAGGGAGATCGGCCGCAGCCCGTTATGAATCCGTGTGGCCGATTCAAATGTGGCGTGACAGCAGAGAGCACGAATAACTGCACCTGCAACATTCCCACCGCTACTGTGCAGCCTTTTGTACAGGTGGTGAATGGAGATGGCTTCACCACATGTGCTTATGGTATGTCCAGTTGCAAGTAGAGCAATGAGGTTGCACTACTGATACCACACTATGCTTGGCCTAGCCTGTGTGGCAATGAAACGCCTCCACACTTTCGAGCATTTTCAAAATGAATGTGATAAGTAGTGCAGGCCAGCAGGTATGATCGCCATGTGAATCTCAGGTCAACTTATTATGTGAACATGGTGAGCAATGCTGACGCAGCAGCACTAGCCAATGCTATTCTTATCATCATCAAGGACAGTTTTGCTATTGCGTTGACCTGGTTACTTGACTCCCCTCTCTTACTCCCCATTTCACCTCTTTCGTCTCCCCCTTTCTTTCCACTCTTCACTGCAATCTCCCCTTTCGTATCTCATATTCCCGCTCTATTCTGCCCACATATCCCCTCTCTCCTCCCCATTGCCCCATTTTCGTGTCTGTAAGAAGCCTCAGCATACATAATGTCAACCTTTTTTGGCGGTGCAGCAAATTTTCCTACCCTTGCTTTCGTATCTTGGGCTCTTGCATTTTCTAATGCATTCACTATTTCCCAAACTTCCAACCTTTCTAAGATCCTCCTCTCAACTTCAACAAAGTTCGCACATCTACTACTTCTGCATCTCTACTCTCCTTCTCAAATCTACCCCTTATCTTGCCTCTTTCCCCATTGTCTGTTCTATCCGCCTCCCCGGTACACGTGTGGCAGTGGACGTGTGTGGGTCATACTTCAAGAACCCCTGCTACGTGGGAGCATGCATCAACGATGGCAAGGGCTCCTACTCCTGCATCTGCCCTCCCAATCACGTAGAAAGCATAACCATTTACGGCTTCCCAACCTGCGATCCAGGTGATGCTTGAGCAGCCCAAGTAGCTGCCTCCCAGAATGTCTGTGGTCTTGATTGAGTTTTTCTGTGTGCTATACCTTCATGACGAACTTGCAGCAATAGGTGTTGGCATTACGTTGAAGATCTTCTCTCTCTCTCTCTCTCTCTCTCTCTCTCTCTCTCTCTCTCTCTCTCTCTCTCTCTCTCTCTCCCTTTCTTGCCTGCATCTCACTCCCCATTCTTGCCTGCAGTTAATACCACAGCCACCACAATGACAGTCACTGGAGACAACTGGTTGTGTTCGGATGTTCATCCACTTGTTGACCTCTCACTCACTGACTTCACTGACCAAAACGCGGTGGGTGAAGATGAGGTGACTTATACAAACCATCATTCATATTTTCTATATCAGGTTGTTTTTACATCACTTCATCCGTTGGATCTTGCTTCAACGTACCCCTGAGTTCTCTCTGCACTGCCGGTTGGTTCCCAGCAGCATGTCCTCTGTTTAGAGTATATATCCTCCTTTCACCCTTGCAGGGTCCTGTTTTAACTCGATGAGACGTTCTTTCATTCTCCTATCATTGACGTAACACTTTCAACCATCATTGACAGGGTTTTTTTTTTGTTTTTTTCCCTTTTCTTCTTTCTCGCTATGAGGTACTTTGGTATGAGAGCCTTACTTTCCTGCACCCGGTATGGAGAGGAAGACTGGCCTTTGTCGAGTTTAGTACAAACCTCTCATTCATGCATGTGTTTCCGAATGCAGGGCATCGACTGCAGCCAGCCATTGCTCAAGGGCAGTGTCCTTCAGCTGGCTAATACTCCCGACACACCCTGCACTGCCTTCTTCTACACCCTTAATGTGAGACCTCTTCCTTTCTTTCCCCAGTCAAACTATGCACACAACCAGCTGGCATAGTCATCTCAACACATAGCATCATTTCTCACTAAGCACATTGCATTATGTCACTGATCATGGAGCAAGCAACAACCATCAACATCCCTGCCTCTGCCCAACTCTCCAGGGGGACACCTGTGCATCCATGAGCAGGCAGCTCAACTTCACTGAAGCTGATCTCGCTGATCTCAACCCCGGACTTGACTGCTCCAAGCCCATCAAGGCGGGCCGCTCTGTGTGCCTCGAGCGCAGTGATGCCTTCGCCTTCACCGTCCCTGAGTGTGTGAGATACGGCACGCTCACTCCGCAAGACACGTGCGAGAAGCTGCTTAAGAGGACCAGCACGAGTGTCCCCCCCTTCGGGTGGCACTACACAAGGGGGTGCCAGTGAGAACCCATGGGCTGCGCTGTACCGCAACAATCCCGGCCTCACTTGCTCCAACAACCATCCCTTCCTCTGCCTACGCGACAGGCAGCAGGATTGGCGTACAGGTGAGGGCTGTGAGTATGAGGAGAGGGTGTGCGGAAGGTGGTGAAAATGGGGGTTTTGGAAAGGGGGGAGGAAGAATCAAAGATGGGAGAGCAATAACAGGAATAGATCTTCTGTGCACTCAACCACAAGGAGCTATCATTACAGAATGCTTGCTTCCACTTCCATGCAAAGATTCGCCGAGCACACGTTGCCCTTGCCTCTGTCTTGCGTTCCTTGTCAGAATATCCCTTTCATGTTTTGTGTCTTCTACATGCTAACACTTTCATGCACATTCGTTACATACATCTTGCGATCCCAGATCTGCCTCAGCGCAGAGTATTGGTCATTCCAGTTAGGTTTGTGCAACAAGGGGAGGGCCAAGCGAGTTGCACCAACGTTGACATGTTCAGGTGCTTACCGCTTTTATGGTGGAGGAGCTGCTGCTAGTGCGGCGTTTGCAGACTACAACGGTAACGCTTGTGCTGGAACAGTAGGAGGAAAGGTTATTTGTGTGCCGTGATATGATTTACTCTAGTTCTTTAAATTTATCATTAGAATGTGTGAAACATGGAGTTTTCAAAACTGTGTATCGTAAAAGCGGAGATGTTTGTTCTGCTGATTCAGCCATTTCGTCTCCCACAGCTCCTTTAGTGGCGCCACCCACCCAGCCTCTGTTGCCCCTGCTATTGTTGCACTTGATGCCCCACAATCACGCACCCTATCCTCACTGGAACCCGCCATGCAACCCTAGGTCATCCTTCATCCTCATTCTCCTGATGTGACTCCTCTTCACTCCTCCTACACCGCCTCCCCCTCGCACCACATCCTCGCTGTCCTACCCTCTCTAAAATTGAACCTGCGGTGGCACCTGCCCCCAGCACTGCAACAAGCAGGGAAGCACGTTTCTTGTGGGGGGGGGGGGGGAGGGGCAAGACGGGTGGGGATGGTGGGACAGATGGACAGGTGGTAAAAGCCATACATGACAGCGAGCTTGTGTAGCTTATGATCGTTCTGGTCTGGCTGCATACCATCAACAAAGACATTTATCATGAAGACCCATAACTGGATCGTTGGACTGCCACTAGGTATTGTCTGACAGCAGTGTTTGTGTTGCCGTTCTCGTGATCCTTCAGAGTTTGCATATCACTCAATCATGAACCTGCCTCCAGAGCAGATCCTCAACACAGTGACCCCCCTCTCTGTCAGAATCCCAGTCACTAACCACTGGGATAAAAGGGCTTGTTTGCGTAGCGGGTGAGTGCGCCCATAACCCCCCAGGCCAACGTACCTGTAACCCTTCCCTAGGATTGATCAGGAATCTCCAGTGGACCTCTGACACTCTTCCATACCTAAACGCCGCCTCCACCGGCCATCAACACCCTCTCCCAACTCGAAGCGGACCTGACTGCCGAGGCTCAGGAGGCCCTCCTCCAGTTCAGGTCACACCCAGTGAGGGTAATCTGCATGCCCTACTCTCCCAAAACATCCACCAGGCCAGAGGCACGGAGTTGTTAGCTGATACACAGCTGGACAAGTCAATGACTGACAACAGGCATGCACTGCGCCTAATCAGCCTAAAGGCAGCAGGGGTGGTCGACTGGCTATATGCGTCCCCACGAGAGCTGACCTCTCAACCTCCTCGGGCCAGTTCTCCATGGCCCTCAGCTTCGGCTCGAACACGAATCTCGCCGTCATTGACGTCTGCCATTGCAAACGCACAGGCTCGACCAACACCAATCCAAGCCTCCCAAACCACCTCCGTTGTGGCAACTGCGGGGATGTGGTCAGGACCCACAGCGCTCTAGTATATGCAAATTTGCAGATGGTTTGGGAGGCGGGATGCATCACCTATCATGAGACCTCCCTATCCTCACCCCCATTCAACCGTAAGAGGGCGGGCGGATCTAGCAAGTAGAGACCCAAAGTTTAGAGAAACATGGGTCACTGACAATATAGTAACCAGGCCAGTGCTGTAGAGAGAAAGGGCCCCCAAGGACTTGGTCTCTGGTCTCATCAAGCAGCGCAGAGGAACATCACGAGGGCAATGAGAACATCACGTGATGTTCCTCTGCACTACTTGATGAGGCCTGTCTACATACTTGGGCCAATGAGAACTGACCAGGGGAAATGGAGAGGTCACCTCTCGTCGGCACTGCATGAAGCCAGTCGCCTGCTCCGCTCCCTTTTAAACTAATCAAGCGGAGCGTGTGGCCTTTGTTGGTTCCAGGCCTGTCCACTACCGTAGACCAGGGTATGTAGACAGGCCTCATCAAGCACCGCAGAGGAACATCACGGGGAACAGGGCAAGGCAGGAGGTTTTGCAGACGTTGGGTGTGCCGAAACGTCTGCTGCTGTTGCGACCGCAGAATCGCATGAGTGCGTCTGGGAGGAGATGTACACAGGGTCACGGGACCCTCGGCAATGCAAACAGTGCCCGTTGGAAGACCTTGAGGCTCCGCGCCCGGCCAGCACCGCGGCGGCCTGGAGCAGGGCTGGCGCCTGGTCGCCCAGGACCCCTCCTGGGCAGGCTTTTGCAAGCGCAGCCGCCCCAAGTGCAAGGGCGTCCGTTGTTATCTGCAATAAATGGGGAGGCCCGCACGGGAGAGGCTCGTCAGGAGCAGCAAACGACAACCCAGGCACAACCTACTCTGCATTCGGTGGGAGCAAACAATATCAGGCAACACACCACTCACCATGAAACGCGGAGCGCGACTCGAGGATGGAGTATTTGCGAAGATAACTAAATCAACGAGAGCTAGACTACGGGCTATGCACGGGTGTGGGGTTGATCTTTGCGTTCCTTGGTCTTTTGTTTGTGTGT